GAGGCCAGCTCAGCCCACCAGGGGGCAGGGCTGGCTGGCATGTGGTGCTGGGGGATTGAACCGCGGTCCCTGATGCTTTTGCTAAGCTTGTTCCAAGTAGGTGCTTTAGACCACTGAGCCATCTCTCCAGCCCTGTGTTGCTTTCTTAAGAGGAAGGTTGTTTTTTAATTTTTTATTGGGGTGGGGGGTTGAGGTAAGGTTTCACTATGTAGTTCAGACTTTGAATTCACTAGTCCAGGCTGCCCTCACACTTGTGACAAACCTCCTGCCTCAGCCTCCCAGGTGCTGGGAGGAATTGTTTTAAAGGGAGTGAGCCAGGTAACAGGATTGGGACATAGACTTTCCTTTTAAACATGTTTGTCTCAGTGAAACAAGAGCTATGGCATCAACAGGGGCATGAAAAGAATGCGATCAGGGCCAGTGGGAGTCCAGATTGTGCAAGACCCTGCTAGCTGCCTCTTCACAGCCACAAGTGAGGGGAGAGTAAGTGCCTGCAGCGTGCGCGGTGTTACTTGTGCTCAGCTAGATCTGCAGCGAGGCTCTGCCCTAGCGCTGGGATGTGGGCGGGGATGAGCGCATTTCCTCGTGACCTGTCTCAAGTGCCATGACAAGAAGAGGACCAGAGAAAGTTCTGTGAATGGGTGTGGCAACTAACCAGTCTACACATTGTAGACTGAGGAAACCCTAAAGGATGGCCTCTCCACACAGCAGTGGGCACCTGCCTGGCCTGGGCCCAGTCCTTTTGTGGGGGGCCCTACCCACCACACTAGGGCACATGTGTGCCTACCTTTGTAGGCCTGCCTGGACAGTGCACCACAGCAGGCTTCTCCAGGCAGGCTTTGTGGATGGCTAGTGACCAGAGCTGGAAAGGGTCAACACCTCCAACCTCCACACTGTGATCATAGGTCAGCAGAGTGGTGTTCCCCGGTGTGAGTGTCAGCCCCTTCAGGTGCTGGCTGCACTCAGGCACCAGGCAGGTGCTTTCCCGAACCCAAGCTGGTCTTGATTATAGTGAACACATCACGCCATACATTTGGTTACCAGTACTGGGCTCAGATTTGAACAAAATGTGTCTGTGACTCACGGCACACTTCTCTGTGGAATGCTGAGGCTGCCTGGGCCTCAAACAGGATGTAGAGGACTCTTGCAGGCTGCAGGGGTTGTCCTTGAACTTTTAGAAAGTATAGCACCCATGAAATGAAAAGTGGCTTAACTGTGGAGGTTGGTGTCACTCGAGGACTATGTGTCTCTTGGTGTTGGTGCCTCTGGCAGCTTGTGCCTTCACTGAGCGCTCAGAAAACCTGTTACTGCACATTCGTGGTCACAGAGTGATAGTACTGTCCCTGGGCAGGACCCGTGGGATAGGAACTTGCAACTTGGATGTCCTTTTTTGGGTTTTTTAAGTTGACTCAAGACTGGCAGACTTACCCAGTCTGTTCCCACTTGATTTCCACTGGGCTTCTGATCCCATGTACTTCCTCAGTAAACTTCCGTGCTCAGAGAGGACCAGGAGGAGGAGCCTTAGCGGAGATGGCAGCAGCAAGGCTAGAGGCCTGGTGCCGTCATCAGAGGAGAGCAGTGGGTGCCGGAACCTTGCCCCTGGAGTGGTCCTAACTGATTTTGTGTAAATCTCCTCAATTAGAATCTACTCATTTATTACAGTACTGGGGCTTGGCTTGGGGAGATGCCTCAGCGGCATAGGCACCTGCCTGGCAAGCACAAGGTCCTGACTTTGATCTCCAGTACCAAAAAAAAAAAAAAGTGACAATCCTGGGGATTGAACCTAGGGTCTCAGGCATTTTACCTGTGAGCTACACTCCAACCATTTTTAATAGTTGTATATTTAGAAACAAGGTCTAAGTTGCCCAGACTGTTCTGAAACTTGGAATCCTCCAGCCTCAGCCTCCTGAGTAGTGGGGTCAGTCATAGACCAGTGTGCTGGCCAATTAGAAAAGCTGGATATATATCTCTATATGAGACCAGTATCTCCTATGGTAACTGATCTCTGTATTTTAATACAGCAAAAATCTCCTATGAAATGGTGTATTCTAAATCATGCAAAGTGACTCACAACGGAGCCCTTGTTAGCAGAATGAGGAGAGAGCGGAATGGAGCATCAGGAACTTACAGCGGAGAAGACAAGGTCTTTGGGCACAGCCGCATTCTAGAAATGCTTTTAACTTTTCAACTCCATGTTGTTTCAAGATAGTGTAAGTAAAACCTGGGATTTCTTTAGAAAGTCTATAAATGAGTGAAAAGGACATGTTCCATTTTCATTTTCCATTTGGTTGTTTGAAAATCTAATAACTGGTACTAACATTTTTCAGATGTCATGGTCTTGGGCTTCGTCGTTCTCCTTGAGATAGGCCACCAGTGTCTCTACCAGGAATCTCGATCTCTTGCACACAGCCGGGGCCCAGGGGTGCAGAAGCACCAGCCAGAACTGATGCCCCGGCAAGGGCAGTCTGGCTTCTGGCTGGAGGGCGCAGCGCAGTGCTGGGTGTGGGCCGGCAAGCCGCCTGCCACACTTCGTCATAGTTGAGCCATGGCGGGAGCACAGCCCAGGCCAAGAGGCGGCAGCATCTCCACAGCCTAGAGGCTCGGGTGGCGCCAAGTGTTGTCATCACAGTGGTACCTATTTCTAAGCACAGCGTTTCCCTAGGGGCTTTACACAGTTCACTTGCTTGCCTTGGAGTTTAACTTAGCAAGTGATCTTGGAAAAAGTTGGGGCAGCTTTTAAAATGCATCTCTTTTATTAGGATGCGTGATAATCTAATTACTCCGAGCACTTTCCGCACCACACAGCCTACCTACCGCCGTGTCTTTCATCATCACTGGGACAAGATACCTGATACCTACTGCTTAAAGGAGGATTTATTTTGGCTTACATGTTAGTCCTTAAGTGGACAGCAGCATGGTGGGAGGATCTGGGCAAGAGCTGCTCACATCATGAAAGCCAGAGAGGAGCCAGAAGGGGAGATGTATTATATCACAGCCTCAGATATTTGCATTCGGGCTGGCTGGGGAGATAGCTCAGCTGTCTAAGTGCCTGCCTTGCAAGCGCAAGGACCCAGGTTTGATTCCCAGTACCACATGTCTTGCTAGCCCCGGAATCCTGGGTGCGCTGTGCTGGCTACCAGAACTGGGCATGGTGGCACACG